AAACATATTTAATTTCAATGAATATTTACACAAATAGTGTGTGTACTCCTGTGTGTGTGGGGGGGGGCACCTATACCAATGTTTCAATGATCCCCTTAGGCATGTTTCTAATAGACTAGAAGTAAAGTTCATCAAAATTCCATATCTCAGGACTGAGTTCACCAACATGTCTCCATCCATTCCAAATGCTTACAACACTAATGAGGATACAGACAATCTGTTCAGAACAGTGATGTTTTACTACAGTATCCGAACTAACACACTCTTGTTTGAATCATCAGTTTTGACCTGAACTTTTGATATATTCTCCACAGTTAAATAAATCTTTATTAATTATGTTTCATGACCCTGATATGTATAGGAATTTAGTGTTCAACTTTAGTTTTTTGATACCATCTATAAACTTATTTCCAGGTTGCTGACAGTGTGTCTCTTAAGTTTTCAAATTTCTATAAAATTTTTTAAATAACGAGGGATGATTTTTTTTAAATTTATGACAAAAACATTGTTTTCTATGTTACTACTTGTGACAGAGGCAAGAAATTTCCAATTCGCATTAAAATAGATAAATATATATGAAGAGAAATTGTTTCTTTCACAATCAAATTATAACAAATATCTGACTTTGGTTAACGAGCCATTTTTAGGAGAGCTGGAATCTTTCTTTCCATGATTAAGATTCTCTTGGAGAGTTGGGGGGAGGTTATTTAAGAAAACTAGATACCATCTACCAACAACATATAGATCACCATTATTACCCAATGAAAAATATAACCTATGCTATTTTTATACTTAAAGCATGTCTATAATCTTAAATTCCTGTGAACCTACTTAAAACTATCACATACTCTACTCACTTTTAAGAACCACAGTATTTAACTAGGGTTAAAGTGACCCATATCTGGTTAATAAACTTACTTTTAGAGAACTGAGCTAGGGAGGAATACCTAACACTATGTAATATGTTTATCCCCCAAAAAAACAACTTAAGCAAGCCTCTTAAAATCAAATCATACTTTTACAAATAATCACTTCACATGCATACTTGCTGCCTTCCCTTTCTAATGTTGATTATTCAAAGATTAGTACAGAAAGAGAGACACACATTACCTTTCCCTGAGAGAAGCTCTATTTAACACAGGGCTTGGAGAATGCTTCGGCACTGTAGAGGGTGCTGAATGAACTAGTAAGGTCCTTGCTGAATGCTGGGGCTTGTTACATGACCTTGAGCTCAAATACTCTTCACACCTTTCTAAAGAGTCATCGAAATCTCTCCCATGGGGTGTCCTGATAACCTGTTTAAAAACACATATATGCATATAGTATATATAGTAGCACAATATATAGTAACATTACACACACACACGTACTTTTAATAAAAGTAATAAAAGTATATGCCACAGCTATATTTGAAGATAAACTTCAGAATGTAGTAGTCATTATTATCACTAAAAGATTAAATATTAAATACATCTGGATTGAATACTCCACATGTACAAAATTTATAAAAATGTATCAACTTGAAATGCTTTTGAGTAGGGGTGGAGTTGGCATAGAGGTATATGTATATAAAATGAACATACACACACAGAAGCCAAGTGTTAGCATAGTTTAGCTATGAGGTCAAAGAGAACTAGATTCAAATTCTAGCTCTAATGCTCATTCATTGCCTCATCTGTTCTGGGGACGGACAAATGAATAAATAAGGATAGACAAATGAATAAAATTTCTGCCCTGTGGAAATTATATTCTAGTAAAATATACATTCTAGTAAGGACAGAGATATTTAAAATACACACATACACACCAAGGTAAATAAGTAAAACACAGGATATGTTCAAGAATGTTAAGTACCATGGGAAGAAATAAAGCAAGAAAGAGGATAAGTGCTGATGGGTGGGGTGAGAAGGGTATGTGGGGAAGGAACTGTAATTTTAAGTGAGACAGTCATTGGGGGCCTCACAGAGAAAAGAACATCTTAGTAAAGACCTGTAGACTTTAGAAAAGATCACAAGACCTAAGTCACAGAGACACCTATGGGAAGAACATTCCAGAAAGAGAGAAAAATAAACGCAAAGATCCTGGGGATTGGAGTGGAGAGCATGCCTATATGTTAGCAAGGAAGCCAGTAGGGCAGGATTGAGTAGTAAAAAATGTGGTCAGAAAGGTAGGGTTTTTTCTTATTTTTTATGGCAGAGTAGTATTCCATTGTGTAAATATACCACATTTTCATTATACACTCATCTGGTGATGGGTATTTAGGTTGATTCCAATGCTTGGCTATTGTAAATAGAGCTGCAAAGAACACGGGAGTGCAGGTATCCCTTCGACATAATGATTTCCATTCCTTTGGGTATGTACCCAGCAGTGGGATTGCTGGATCATATGGTAGTTCTATGTGTAGTTGTCTGAGGAACCTCCATACTGTTTTCCACAATGGCTGCATCAATTTACGTCCCACCAACAGTGTAGGATTCCTCTTTCTCTGCATCCTTGCCAGCATTTGTTATTCTGTCTTTTGGATAACAGCCAGTCTAACTGGGGTGAAATGATATCTCAGAGTGCTTTTGATTTGCATTTCC